TATGAGCACGGCTACGAGAGTTCATACAAAAGAAGGTAGAGACGAATGTGTAAGAAATGATAGCGCGAGAACGCCGGCCATCTTCAACCTTGTAACTGCTTACTTAAGAACAACTGTTTTTACGTTCGCATTTAGGCTGTATCACATTTCTTTGGAGGCAATCAGTTGGGGCGATTCCAGGAGAGAAATGAATGAGCCCACCTTCTTCCACTTTCTTTTTGTTTCCTTCCTGATTCGATCACTATTGGTCAAAAGGCAGCCAGGGACGCGTTCATTCCTCTCGACACCGCCCCGACTGATGGCGACAGTTGTACTCACCACCTTTGCTGGATGCGCGAAAACGCGGCAGCAGCAATTTCTGTCTTTTTTGCATCCTCTGTCCCCCCCCCCGTGGTTTTGACTTTTTTAATTCAACATTATTGTGCTGTTATTTGTTATTGTGCTGTGATTTCATCGAAATCAGTCATCAGCATGAAACCAGCTGCTGATAGAACTATTGATGTCTTGACAAAATTAAGTCAGATTGCTTTTTTTGTGCAGAACAGTTATCGTTTTTTTTCCGCGGCATTCAAAACTATAGCGTGGCTTACAGAGGTGGCCTGTACTCAGGAAATTAGGTAAACTTCGTTTCAACTGAGTAATGTAGTAAGTAAGAAGCTCTCTTCGTTTTATTTTGTGCAGAAAATATTGGCTTGCAGTATTTGTGGATGCAGTCCTCACATTTCTTTGGTAGTTCGTAAAGTCGCTGACGTGTAGGAGCTACGTCATTCATACTCTGCTCAGTGTTCTGAGGAACTAGGAAAGATATTCATCGATCTAGCGTTTTGAGCGTACGTTATTATACGGCAGCGTTCTGAATGTAAGCTGACGTACGCTCGAAACACCCGCTAGACACCTGTACTTTCTTAATTGCTCAAAACGGTGACTCAGGTATGGACGCACCGTAATTTTGTCGAAGTTTTGCGTGAAACTTTCTTTCTTTTTAGTCCGTTCTCGATTGCTTGATGACGATAACCAACACGGTGTACCTCGTATTAACAGTGTTTCATTGGATATGGGTGCAATGGAGCAAATGCGTGTACAGCAACAGGTAAGTATTTTCACTGTGTCTTAGGTTACTACCCGTTTTCTTCGCAGGAAACTCTTGAAGCGTTTATATGACAGCGTTTCGGACCTTGAAACCCTCCCAGGGTCTACAAAAACAGTCAGCATCGATACTAGCGGAGCTGCACAAGAAAACATGAAAAACGGGGCATCTTCAGCAATAGTAAAGCTATTAAGAGAAATATTTTAGCTCAGAAGCCGCGTTTATCCCTTTACCTTTTGTCTCAGGCTCAAGGCACATAAGTAGTCAGTTCTTCCTGAAGTGTTTCAATTTATTATTTTATTTTTTCTTTTTCAGGTAGTTCTCCAAGATCAGTCTGACGCGTATGCTCAAGCGCGTTCTAATGCAATGGAGACGATAGAAGGATCCATATCAGAACTGGGACAAATTTTCGCGCAGTTGGCGAGCTTAGTTAGTGAACAGGGCGAAATGATTACACGGTGAGTCGTACAATAATAATAACGTCTGATTCCATGGAAACGCCGCATGAGTCCCAATATGTCGCTGTTTTTCTTTTCGAAATTCATTACACCCGTATGCAACGTCATGATAGCGCTCTGCTGCCTCTGTGATCTTTGTTAAATGTTACCGTTTGGGGGTGGGTGACCCAGCAGGGTCGCATTTTCAATTTGTAAAGTTGAGATTGTTTACTGTTTTTATTATATCACCCATTTATTACATCATTATTATATCATTATATTGATTTTCAGTATTGACTCGAATGTCGAGGATACGGCGATAAATATCGATGCTGCGCACACGGAACTCGTGAAATACTTCCATAATATTAGCAAAAATCGATGGCTGATGATCAAAGTTTTTGGTGTGCTCATGGTCTTCTTTATAGTATTCGTTTTATTCCTTACGTAGACAGAAAATCGGGCTGTATGCACTTTTTAATTGTTTCTAATGTATTTCCTTAATAAAGAAAGGCACCACCATATGGCCGCACCGAGAGGGCGGAGCCAGGCAAAGCAGCCATTGCTGTGCGTCTCCTCTTCTCACCTTCTTCACCAACGCGGATTTAATTTTCTCGATGTGTACTTTCGACCATTTCGGCCAAAATTCACTGTAGGGATGGGGTAAATGTCTATGTCATAAAGCACCCCCCCCCCCCTCCCTCCCTTCCTTTCCGCAACTTAGCTGCCATCTTCCCAAGTTTTCCCTAAACTCACATATCTCTTCCAAAAAATTTCCGCTTTTTCTCCAAGAAACTGCCGTCAAGCGAGAAGTCAGCAACTGAAAATCTCTCGCAGCTTGCAAAATTTTCTGTCAAGACCAGTTACGACCCCCCTACCGAATGCGCCCCACCCTTCGGCCAATACCACCCCTGATGGAATTCTCCCTGCTATGCCGTACCTTGATTTCGGTCGAAGGGCTTGTCAGTGACGTCGTTGCTTTGCTCCACCCACCCGGTAATCCAAGTCAGTGTCTTTAAGTTCGAGAGTTAGAGTGCATATTCGTAGTGGCCAAGAACAACAAAGGAGTTTGTTTGCTCATGTAATGAGGGAAAGTAGTGAGTTTCGGTAATTTCACTGGTTTTCTGCGTGTCTTACAAACATTCTTCAATGTAGCGCGAATGCGGCTCGATTGGCTTACGTGATAGGCTTACTTTCTTATGTCCGGTTACATTTCTGTTTGTATATTCAAAATTTTATTTGAAGTACGCTCTTTGTTGTTTCGTCATGGGAGTAACGTCTTTTACTTCATTACTGTATCTTATCAAAGATAGATGTCTATCGTATCTGTGATGCTTTGAAATAATATAAACATAATTTATTTTCTGATTGATTTGGTCAGCGAGTGGTTCTGCAACCGAATTATTTCTCTTTGAAAGTGCTCTGGTTACTGATCGATGGAATGTCTTTAGCATTTGCAGAGTTATTGTGAGTTTCCAGGAGTTTCCGAGCTTACCTGTTTTTTGGTAGTGTCAAAACGTTGCAGTAAAAGCGTGAGTTTGAGTCATGACGCGCGCTGATGTAGCACAGGTACGCGATTTAGAACGTTTACGTGCTATGAGAGAGAGATGACGTGTCATTGACGTCACATAGTGCGATGTCTTGACAACGATATAATGAAGGTTTTGGCGCTAGATGTCTCAGGAGGGGGTACCGCTCAGTGAGGATTAGCCACGTCATGTTCTGACGCGACAAAACCACGTCATGCTGGCCAGTTGGGAGGCTGCTGTGGGAGTGTGACATGTTGTGACGTCAGTTAGGTTATATTAAAACATGTCAAGCTATTTCAATGAAAGGGTGAGAGGGCGGACATGACGTGGACTAGCTCGTTGGAGAGTAATTCCTTCAGGGATGCACGTAGCGCCCACGTTTCCGTGTAATTGATGTGTTTTATTTCACTTCATCTCGTTAACTGTAAGATTACACGTCATCCTAACTTCTAACAGTTGGTTCCTTACCCTTGCTGCATCTGCTCTGCCGCATGTTTTCCTAAAAATCAGTGTCGTTATGATGATTGATCTCATGCGCTACTGTTATCGATTTCACATGAAATTCGCTGCTATCGTAAAATGTATGCATTTTTCGAACTATTTTCAAGTTTACCGAGTTGCTTTTTTTCGATCGTATGATTCCTCGGAGTGCTCACAATTGCTCCACAGTCACATGAATCTTTCACTTTTTTAGGACAGAGTGATTAGTGGCTTCTCCGGAACAATATATTTCTGACACATGCACATCTCTCCGGGTGTTCTTGCCATAGCCTCATTTGTGGCCACTGCGGCAACAGTCACAAATGCCTTCGTTGTGAACAAGCAGTTTTATCCGTCAATTGTTTACATAACGAAGAAGCAATGCCAGCATGATGGTGAGTAGTTTTGAGTGAATTTACGTTTTCGTTTTGTAATTAGGGCTGCATCCTTACCTCGTGACAATGACGAATTGGCGAATTCAGGAATTGCAGAATTGAAGAATTGATGAAAAGTATATGATGCTTATCAAACTATTACCACTGTTCATCATTTCTTCAATTCGTCAATTCTTCACTGTCCCAAGTTTTGAACGCGGTCTTATTGTTTCGTTTTGGGAAATCTCCTGTCTGAGTACTGAAGCGGTTCCCATCAAAAAAGTAGCTCTACATTCTGAGTGGTTTTTGGTCACAGGGAAATGATTGGAAATCGTTACTTCTTTGAGTGCATTCACACTTTGCGTAGGCGTTGTGAGCGTTTTAAAGACAGCTCCGCGATAAAAGTGTCATGGATAGTTGCTGTACACTTATGGAACAGTAGCTGATAAGTAATTTCCCAAAGAAGAAAAAAGCAAGAAGAGCCTTCAAGAACACTATGAACAATCGCTCACTGACAGTCACACCGCCCTGTGGTCTCTGTGCAACCCCTTGCTCACAAATCGCTTTTTCGCATTTTCAGTAGTAGGTATCGTCCAATGCAAAACAAAAATAATACGAAAAACAACAAAAACACGGACGAAAAACACTTAAAAATAAATTTCAAAAACGTGGCGTCCGAATTTGGGGTTACGGTAGCATGCATCTTTCAGTGCATGTCGAGCTTTTGCACCACGAAAATTACATCGCTCGTGATTTTTACGCGTTTTACCTTGCGACATGGGTTGCAGTTGGCTGCATGTGCTCCTAATGAATAAAATGAATAAAATGTAATAAAGGAGAGCAGAATTATTATGGGCACGAGCGCGGTCAGCAAAAAGGACATGCAATTCCGATTAATGCCCGCCGCCCCAACAAAGAACAACTGAGCGGCCCTCCGTCAGAGGGCATCTAGCAAGTGGGCGGTCCAACTGGGCGGGCGTTAGAACTAGAACTTTCAGCGGCTGTAGCTCGCTCCTCGCTCACTGTGGAGTCGCGAGAGTGGGATAGTCTCTAGCTTGGGGCTGGACTACTTGCACAAGGAAGGACGACCATGTACTACTTGAGCGCGGGGGCTGTCTTTAAGCGGCTGAAAAGATGCAGTCTGGTTGGCTGCGGACGATGAGGCGTGTCTGCGCCGCTGCGTTTAACGGTGCCAGTCCTTTTCTCCTTTTTTCCTTTCGTTAAGCGGAAGGACTGTATCATATCGTTCGAATCAGTCGTTTTTCACCTGTTGTTGTCACTTACCCATTTAAACAACCGGGTGAGAATAGAGAGAATAGATTTGGTGGCGTGCCAAGCGCAGCCGCGCGGACACGTACCATCATCCGCAGCGAACAAGACTGTATAGGAACTAGCGTTTTCAGCGCTCGGGAAAATATATGTATCGACTCAGCGTATCTAGCCTTTTAGGCATGCTCCGGCGTACACTCCAACGCTAGCGCAAAGTATGAACGCACTCTCAACAAATGCACGCCTTTTTTGATGACCCTTTCGATTCTTTTGCTACTGTCATGCGAAGAGAGCAGAGCAGGAGTAAGCGTATGCTGCCGCCGGAGACGAGCATGAGCTTTGATACCTGTTGAGTTTCAGCAATAACACCTTGTTCTGAAATTTGTATTCATGGGTTGTTCGTTGACAATATGCTTTGCTTGGCAACGACTCATCCTGGCACTATTTTCTCTAGCCATTTTTCTTTGCCTTTTCAGGTCATTTATGTGCAGGCTCTTATTCTGGTGTATATACTATTCCAAATGGTCAGGAAGATTTTCTTCGGTGAACTACGAGCTTCAGAAGCTGAGGTACTTGTTTTGGTGTTTCAAAAGTTTTCTTAGGACCATTAACTCTGAGGACCAAAAAAGTGTAAAAATGATGAAGTTGCATTGATTTCAGCATTTATCAGAGCGTGCTTGGCATGCAGTGTTGGAAACATGCTTGGCATTTACTGTGTTTCGAGACGATTTTTCGCCACTATTTGTCATGCAGTTTGTTGGCCTCCTGTTTGTAAAAAGTTTCCATTGGTTAGCTGATGACCGTGTTGACATGATGGAACGCAGTCCTGTTATAACGCTGAAATTTCATATTCGAATGATGTGTGAGTTTAAATGTCCATTTTGGTTTTGAATGTTCTCGATACCTTCTGCCCCTTTAATTTTGTTATTGGTAAAAGGATGTACATGCTTTGGATGTAGCCCAGGATATCTAGGTCGCAGTGTCATGCGCGAGTTTGCAGCATTTCCTAGCTAGTTGATTGACATGGTGCAGCACTACTACTGAACTACCCCTCTTCCCCTCCCTCCACGTATGCCTTCAACGGTAGCAACTAGATGCGCATGAATTCCAGCGCCACTGCATTTGAGGGGACATCACGGGGGCTGACGATTCTCTGCGAACTGGACTAGGTCGCACGCGTACTTTGATCGTTCGCACCCTTCTAAGGATCCCTTTCGTTGTGCTGCTGAGGGAATACGGACTATTCTATGGCGAACTAGTCAATTCACGCCTCTCACGTGCGCGCGGCGAATGGCAATTTCAGAGTTGCATGACCGTATCCACGAGTTTACGTGAGCAACGGACGTTACTTCACGGCATCCTCGACCAACATTCCGTTGTGGGACATCCGTCCATAATCCTTTAACGATCTAAACGAGCCATGAGGCGATACAACTCGTACACGACAGCTGCGACGTCTCCAGCCAAGCTCACCAGCGCGAACGACCCAGCACTGCGCAACGATTGAATCGCCACATACCTGCCACAGAGTGGCCTCCCTGAACTGCAGTAGCTCCTAAATACCATGTTTTGAGTTTCTAAGCGTGGCTGTGTACCAGATACTTTGAAAACAACGTCTTCTTTCATGCTACCTCGTTTTTTTTTCTTTTTCTGGAATATATCTTCATGTAATGTTGTTATAGGTATTGTTGCCTTCCTCGGTGCTACAGATTCTTACCTGCTTTCGCACGCGTATTTCACTACATTACTGAAGGGCGCTAGTGCCCAAATAGTTTTCGGATTTGAGTGAGTTGGCTTGTCGGCTGTTGCTTTTTAGTCATGTAGTCCAGCCACGCTTTTAATCATTCATATTTTCAGATATGCCATACTGATGGCTTTGGTGATCCATGTTACGATAAAGTATATTCTTCACATGCACGACCTGCGAACTGCCCAAGCATGGGAGAATAAAGCGGTTTATTTGCTTTATGCGGAACTTTTCATAAGTAAGTGGTTCTCTAGAGTTTTGCATTTGGAACTCTTTTTCTGCTCCATTTACATTTCTGTTCCAAAAGATTCATCAAAAGATTCGTTAAACTGGAGTAATTCAAGATCTGATACGATGCGTACTGTATGGATTATTCGCTGCTGTCATGCTCCGTGTGCACTCGTTCCCGTTGTTCTCAGTGCGACCATTCTATCTATCTTTGCGAGCTTTGCACAAAGCCGTCAACGATGTCATCTTGAGTCGAAGAGCTATCAATGCTATGAACAAGTGAGGTTATTTGATCTTTTTTCACGAACAAAGACGATGAGGTGACGGGGGGGGGGACATTTGCACCCAGCTGCTTCCCAGTGTCGTGTCGAGCCACAATCCATTAAGTAGAGGTTCCAAGGGAGGCAGGGCTCCTCCACGAAATTGCGCCCACGGAGGTAGGACTTATGGGAAGCACTATATGGTGTTTTGTCCCTTTTCTTCGTGCTCTTTTTCCTCAACCACTGGAATCTTCAGGGTTCTGTCACTGGTTGAGGAAAGAGAACATGAAGAACAAAATACATGGTTATCAAAGTTCACGTAAAGATTGTAGTTATCGAGAGAATGGTGAGTTATGGGCAAAAATCAGACTCCAAGCGGGTCTCGAACCTGCACCTCACGCTTACAGGGCGAGTGCACTGTCCATTACGCAACGCGTGGATCAGATTATAGTACTTTTTTGCACTGAATTTGATTTCATTCGTTGAGCAGAAAGTAGTAGTAGTTGTAACACTTGCTATATAATGTGAACTCGTGCAACACACTTGTTCAACCATTTCTAATCAGTTCCATGGGCCTTTCGGTCAGCATTTAAAAACTTCCATTCCAGCCTATTTCCAATTGTGTCAGCTGAAGATCTGGCTACAATGGATGCCACATGTATTATTTGTCGAGATGAAATGACACCAGAATCAACACCAAAACGACTTCCTTGCGGTCATGTCTTCCATACACACTGTCTGCGAAGCTGGTTCCAACGCCAACAAACATGTCCTACTTGTAGGACGGATATTTTAGGTAACTGATTTCAGAAATCCTGAAAACTCCTCTCAGCTACACAAGTTCGCTCCTGGGTTCTTTTTTGGCGGCAATCATCAGAGTTCATGAAAGATTGGTGTCAATAAAATGAGGGAAGCCCCAATTTTAAAAAGGTTATAATGGTTGCGTAAGAGTGTTCCCGAGCTGTAGTTGACCGGGAAGCTGCGTAAAAGCGGCACTGGCTGAGCACGCAGTAGGAAGACCAGGAGAGTACCGTGGGCCGTAGTAAAGTACCTGTGATCGACCGTGATTGCAAGAGGTGACACAATTTACAGACTGAGAAGCCACTGTTCTCTTAAAGTGCCAAAAGGAGAGTTGTCTAGCATATCGCAGCTCATCAAGTCCTTTTTCAGCCGCAGCTGGTCAACGTGCTGCAGCAAACGGCGCTGTGCCAGCCGCACAGCCGAATAACGCTCCTGCTCAGAACGGCGCTGTCAACGCTCGACTACCTCCAAATCTTTTCCCATTCATGGCTCATCAGTTTGCAGTTCCACAACCACGTCCGCCTACTCAGGATAATGTAAGCCACAAACTTGTAGGTATTCCAGACTTTTCGTTAATCAAGACTTGTTACAGACAGGTCCTGCCGCTGCTGGTGCTACGGAGGGAGCTGCAAATGCTGCGGGTGGACCGCCTGCTGGATTTCCTCCAGGACCTTTCCCAGCTTTTCCACCACCGTTTCCTCAGGACATGGTACGGAGCTGTTTATATCCTTAATACGTAGTAATTGTAAACATTTCTGAAAATAAAAATTTCAGCCTCAGTTCCCTTCATTTCCATTCATGGCACCGCTGCCTCCATTCCCGATGGAAATGCCTCGGCCACCAGCTCAACTCGATCAGCTGTCAGAAGAAGACTTACGCGCTATGGAAGGTGGATTTTCCAGAATTTAGCGGGTGCAGTACGGCAACGGGGGGGGGGTGGACATTTTGCCCTTCTGCCACGTCCCATCGACGTGTCGAGCCATCTAGGAGAGCTCTTTCACTATTGAGTACAGGGCTTCACAGGTTTTGTTATGGTGACTCGACGAGCTTGCTCCAGCTTCACAAGAGTTCACAGGTTTCACCAGAGTGAGACTTGTAAACCGGAACTAGTGAAGCAGCGAAAGTGCAAAATGCCCCCCCCCCCGTCGTCGAACTGCGCAGTTTGGAGTTATTTTCTGAATGATTAATGTCTTTTGATTTAAGGTCAAAGTCGTGCAGCTTTGGAGCGTCGCATAAAGATGCTCCAAGATATTTCAACGTTGTTAGACGCAGCTGTTGCGCAAATGCATCAGTACACTTCCATCTTTGGGTAAGTCGCTAATTCCCACTTATTTCTGTGCTGTAGTGCTCTTATACAAATAGTAAATCTTGTCAAATAGTAAATCTAATGTATCTTGTGCTTTACTGAATTTAGTGCCGCACCCATGCCTGTGCCCATGCCGTCTACAGCTGCTGCTAATGCTTGGCAAACTTTGTTTGCTCAGGGACCAAGTCAGGCCTTCAGTGGAACCAGTGCTACAGATGTGACCCAAAGCGATTCTGGTCAGGATATTAAAGATGCACAGGACGGTGCGACAGTGCAGCAGAATGGGACAAAGACTGAGGTGGTGTTTTTGAACTCGTACAGCCGTAATCCGGGCACTTGATTAGGCGGCAAGGGTCGCGACGCGGCTGCGGCGTGTCACGAGCGCGGCGATCAGCTGTTTCCAGCCTATTTTAGCCATTTTCTCCCTAATTTACGCTGTTTTGGCTGCTTTTCTCAAGATTAGTTGTTCCTTGTCTTCACAAGGTGAATTATGATTGAGATTCCTCTGATTTTTGCGTACAATTAAACAGTTAAGCAGACAATTGAACAAATACCTGAAAAAAATTTCAAAAACACTATTGCAAAAACGAAAAAGAACACCACGTCCTAATGTTGTACTTCATAGTGACGCGCCGCAGCCGCGTCGCGTCCCTTGCCGACCTAATCAAGTGCCCGGATGACGACTGTACTTGGTCAGTTTCCCTGTTAGTTACGTTGGGGTTTGTTAGGATCGCAACTTGGTTTTAGACTAAGATACCTTAGCTAAGTAATGATATCTTCATCAACTGCAGACATCTTTTCGTCATTCTGAGATATTGAACTACTCTCGCTGCGTGGAAGACTACTATTTAAACTTAAAGACAAAGTGTACACTGGTCTGCTATGTGCGAGGTACGGGTCCGCAGACGCAGTAGTGGGCCACTTTGTCCGCTCAAAAGTGGGAACGGTGCTGGTAGTGTTACTTGCGTGCCGTCCCCATCTTCCGCCCGCGCTATCCTCCATTTGCAGCACTTGCGTCTATACCAAAATCCCGCAGTGGAACACACACTCAGTGATGACAGCCAGAAGTGGGGACGGGAGGGGGGGGCGGGCGCAGACAAGTAGCGCGTTTGGTCATGATTAGGCGTGTGGCTGTGCGGGTGGAGTTTGTACACGTCACCAGCTGTCACTGCCCTCCAGTCCCATTCCCTGCACTTTTCACCGGATAAAGCGGCACGATACTGCAGGTGCGCCCCACTCTAGCCATACATGGTAAAGAACAGGACCCACAGAGGCGGATATATTTGTCCTTGGACTTGTTTAAAGTCTAAACATCAGTTGGTCCTGTAATCCTTGTGTAGGCAATGAAATGTCCTCTGTTCAAGATATGATAGGATTCTTGGCCCATGGTGAAGTCGAAACCAGCCGGCTGCCGCCAGTTTTGGTAGGGTGTGATGTATATTCTGTCAATTTAAAGCTGCCAGTATATTCTGCATTTTGAACTCCACCCTTGTTCCATCGTAAGAGGATATCGAGTAATTAGGTCATTATCTTTGTTTTCTTTTCGAATTTTATTCGCTGTTGTTGTTTACAGAGCACAGCGGCTGATGTTCCATCATCCTCGAAGTCCTTGTTTGGAACCTCAGCATCCGCTTCGCGAATAGCAAAGACAGAATCGTCGACAACTCCTGAAGACAGGGAATCCCCTGACATCCCTTCATCATCGAAAGAGACGATTGTTCGATCACCTGAAGATGAACAAATCAGGCTAAGGAGACTGAAGAGGTAAAAGAGCTTTACTGTTTCGTCAGCCGAATGCTAGTTCCCTTCGTCCTCTCAATGGAACTTTGTTCAGGTTCGCAGATGCTGGGAGTAGTTCTGAAGATCGCTAGTCTTGTATAGAAGAGTTCTTTTATTGTGATTACTCTTGGTTTTAATCATGTTCTTTTCGCTTGCGATTATGTGTCAGTGCGGGATATATTTGGAAACGAATTAATTAAATCATTTAACTTTACATTATTGTTGATTAATTGTGTGTATGTGACTGAGGTAGTTCTTAACTGAAGAATCGTAGAGAAATGAATGAGATGCAGTCTGGTTCGCTGCGGATGCTGGGGCGGACCAGGGGGCTGAGTTTGGCGCGGCGGCAGCCCGTTTTCCTGCAACTGTTGTCGCTTACCCACTCTAACAAGTGGTGGGGAACGGGTGTGCGGCGCGCCAAACCCAGCCCCCTGACAAGCCCCGAAATCTGCAAAGAACAAGTCTGTACATGTCATGTTCGATTTTGGACTGCGGAATCCTCGTGGCCTTTCCTATACACCACTGTCGCCAAGTATGAACGCAGTCCGATAGCACAGTTTATGGATAATTCGGGGTTAATGCTTCCGTGTCTCAACCGCTGCGCAGAACAGTTCTAAAATGATTAGACCACACAGTGCTTGGTCGACAGTTCTAAAATGATTAGACCACACAGTGCGTGGTCTTATTGAGGGTATTAAGCAGTCTTCTCCAAAAACTATACAGGGGGGCCAAAAAAAAGTCATTTCGGCCGAGCACATATCAACGAAGTTTTCGCAGCCCAGACAGGGGAAGTGGATATGAGTACCAGAGTGGAAGATACCCAAGATCTTCCTCTATAAGCTGGAGCAGGCTGCCGCCAATCGCCTTCATGTACGCCAAAATATGAAGTCATCTCCAGTCGCGGCCTGACTGGAGAACACCTTTGGAATTCACGTCGCCTCCAAACAGCTGCGAAACTTCTTGAATGAAGTCATCCACAGATAGCTACCTGGAGGTCAGTACTCTTGATCTGCAAGACCTCCCACATCGAGCAGCTTCGGCAACGTCGCTACGGTCTAGGACATCATCTTCACCGTATTCGCCGAGGCGCGAGTTGATGGTATGGACCGGGGTACCTGGAAAGGGGAAGACCGATATTTTCTTTGTAGACCCCGACTGAAGGTGAGCGCTGGCGGTTACATCAAGTAACTCGAGAAGAATATCCTCCCTACATGTGGTCGCCCGTACCTTCTTGGAGACCTTGTGCTGCTACAGGTTTGGGTGCCACCACATGGAATCAAAGGGTTTTGGAAAAACTCCCGCCTACTTCGAATGGAAGGGCGTTTCGTACCTGAAGAAGATGTAATATTGAAGTATGTCCCCTGACCTGAACCCACTCAATTACCTAGTTCGGGCGGACTTCAAGAGGGTGGTCTACGGTGGCGGAGAAATCGACTACCCCGCTGATCTCAGGTACCACATCGCGCGTGCCAGAATCTCTCGATGGCGTTCGTCCAGAAGGCTGTGGCGGAGTGTCGTGATAGTACTTAATATGCTCTTCAATATGGTAGTAAAAATGTCCGATCAGAATTTGATAAAGTGTAATTTATAGCGCCTCGAAAGTCAATGAGGCAAAGTGACTTTTTTTTGCCCCCCTGTAGTCTCACAGAACGGGGACGAAGACCTCTCAGCGCTTGTTTCGCTAGACCGAGCATCTATTATTGATAACGACGCGGTGAAAAGTGCGTTAGTTACCGACACGAAACCGCTAATGTAGACAGGGATTGCTGAAAAACTAGAATCACCTATTGTTACGGTGATGGGGAAACGGTGGTGATTCGTCCATCTAGAAGATGTTCAGACTTTGACGTGATTCTGCGATGTTTTCGAAGGTTGCTCTACGTTGAATCCTCCCTAACTTGGACTAACCTTTCCCAGTTGTCCCACCACAACACTGGGGAAAGTCTCCAATTTAGTGCAACCCCTGAACATATCGAAGAATTACGGCAACGTCTGAACATCGTTCAGATGGGCGATCCGCCACCGCTTACCCCTCACCCTGCAATAGGTAATCATAATCTTTTGGCGCTCTACTGCTGTATGGAAGTTTCGTATCGGCAGTGAACGCTCTTTTCTACCGCCTTGCGATCAAAAATAGATGCTCGGTCTAGTAAAATAAACACTGAGCGCTCTTCGTGCTCTAACGAGCTACCAGGATAGCTTGGTAATTTGGTAGCAGTATTTGGTTGCTGGACGGAGCGTGTTATGCCTCTGAAAAATGTTCTCGATTGCCTGACTTTTCTCGATTTGTTCTACAGTTGATTGTCTTTGTCTGCGTTCAAGTAAGTACACTCCTCCCCCTCCCCCTCAATTCGGAAGATGATAGGCTGTATTTTGAAACCTTGTAAGAGGAGAGAAGGTAGCAGAGGGGGACGTGGCTCCCACAGCAGGAAATAGCGAGAGTAGGCTTTGCAAATTTTCCAAACGACAGGGCGTGCTCTGAAAGGAACTCGTTGGGACATTTTCAGAACCTCATTCACCTGCTGTTTCAAAAAGGACAACAGTCCTTTGCTAGTACCCCGATCATCTACCAAGTGCAGTCATCAACCTTATTGATTGCTACGTGTCAGTCAAAAGTGCGGGAGCGGAGAACGTTCAAATTTCCCACCTTATTGATCGCTTCCATGCCATCGAACTTAAATGTCGTTAACTGTAAAGAGTTACAATATAAAAGCTGTCGTCTACAACTCCCCCCCCCCCCCCCCCTTCTTTTAGTACTACAAACCAAGACGCTAGTCCAATATGCTCAGTTATTCCACACTCTCCTGCAAAGTCTGGAAATCTAGTGTTAGCCACTAGGACCACTCTGGCGCGATATAAAAAATTCCTTCGGTTTTCCTCCCATTCATTACCATGTTTAATCCCGGAAGATGCCAACGGAACGATTGTGAGCCATAGCAAGGGTTCTGCTCAAGACTTGAGGAGGAAGCGCTTCAGGGTCGAGGTACAGGTAGTTTGTGTCACTTCCAGGACTTTGCAAGAATGTCCCGATACATTGGTCCACAGGCCTAGGAATGCCTGTACCCCCCCCCCTCATTCGGAAATGATGGGCTTATTTGAAACTGCTAACAGGAGAGACGGGAGAGAGGGGAATGCGCCATCGCACAAGCAAGGAAAAAATAGCGAGCATTAGCTCCTTTGCAAGCATTTCCAACACAGGCGCTGCAAGGAAGCTCCTGTTGAGAGACATTTCAGAACCTCATTCACCTGCTGTTTCATAAAAGTACAACATCCTTTCTATACCCGATCATCTACCGAGGCATTCATCACTTAAATTGATGACCGTTCAGTCAAAAGTGCGGGCGGAGAACGTTTCAAATCCCACCTTATGATCGCTTCCATGCCATCTAATCCAAAATAGGCCGTTAATGTAAAGAGTATACAATATACAAAGCTTTTCGTCTAAACTCCCCCCCCCTTTTTAGTAAAGCAAACTCAAGACGCCATAGTCCTAATTTGCTATCAGTCATTCTACACTCTCATGAATATCGTTAAAATCTCAGTGTGCTACTAGGCAACCACTCTGGCGATTATAAAAAATTCCTTCAGTTTTTCCTCCCATACTTAACCATGTTCAAGTCCCGAAGACTGCTAACAGGAACGCTTGTGAGCCCATAGAAGAGTTCATGCTCAAGACTTGATGAGGCAACGCTTCAGTTCCGAGTACGGGCCACTTTAATGTGTACTCCAGACTTTGCAGAATGTCCCGGTACATTGGACTAAGCTAGCCACAGCCTGGAGCACCCTACCCCTAGCACACTGCCTGAACTAGCGTCCAGGCTAGTGATCCTGTGCCGCTTCAGGGTCTCTGTCTTTGACTGGAAGGATACACATTATCAAAGCTTAGGCCTCATTGCCTCAGGGGGCGCCATGAAACTTCTTCCATGAAGTAATTTCGAAAGCTCAAACAAAGAAATTATAGGGGGGCTCTGGACTGGGCCAACTACAGTTTCTAACCTTCCCATCCCTCTGACTAATCTAGCGCTACTGCATGTTTGACATCTGGCACAGCCCGAACACATTGCGCCAGTTTCACATATTTGTTGAATCGTGCTCAACACTACAAACTCTAGCGCTTTCCTGGAAGTTGAAGCAATTTATCCCATAATTTATGCATATCATGTAACCCGAACATCACAAAAATTGACACAAATCGTCCACTATCTAGAACTTTCTGTAAGCATGGACGAAGGCATTGCATCCCTCGAATCCAATTCATAGACACACAAAGAGAACGATGAGGATGAGGATAGTGATCGTCGTCAGCACCGGTTCCCCATCTGCTTTTGTTCGTTGGGGCACGACGGTAATATGCAACGTCAAGGCCACGCGCACATGGTACAGATGTTCGCATAACCATCACACCAACATGCAGACGATGGACAATCGCGCAGCTCATTCTGTATGCACCACCAGCGCTATTCATGTTTTCAGATGACACAACTGTGAGCACGTGAGTAACGGTCACGATGACAATGACTGACAAATCGACAAAGTGAGGACAACAGCATCTTTGCGTACACACATACGAATACTATCGGGCTGTACTGCCGGCCTAACATGTGCCAAAGCAGGTAATACTCGCTTTGAGACACGATAGACTCGCACTGCACGCCTCGACAGGACAGCAGGGCAACAGGTAACCCACGAGGGCTAGAACGGCTAAATTCTCCCGAGCAGCAGTTGGCTGTGATTCGATCTACTGATCACGGATCACGAGGCAACTGCCGGTCGGGCGACAGCCAACTGGAGCAGTGGTAGACGATTCAGAATAAGGCAGACAGGGAATCGAATCCAGAGAATCAGTACAGTGGACGAAGACGAGCTGAACTGTAGAGGTGAAGAGGTGGGGTGAGTAGTGGAGGGAGGGTCACACAGGTGGTAGTCCCGGCTGAGTAGGGATCTAGTCACGCGACAGTCCACCGGGACTAAGACACATACCCAGCCGGGCCCAAGACACCGAGTCGAATGGCCATCGTTGCGGACAGCCATCGCAACCGCCATGGCACCGCCTTTCGCGCGCGCGCCAAATTTAAATCACCCGCAGGCATTG